GTATAAAAAATGCGTACTATTGTTCACAAGAATATCTTGAAATATAGAATTATAATAGTCAGGCGAATGTCCCATGGAATCATAAAACTCTGCTGGTGCGTTATCATAAAACGCAAATGCACACCAATGCTCTCCAACCATCGAACTATCCTGTGTGTTAACAATGAAATAGGATGGTCTTTTCGTAACTTTTGTAGGTAGCTCATCCAGTGCGTATACACCGTGGGTTTTTAAGCGCAGACAAGCGTCCGAATTCATGATTCGCTCCAATTGATACGTATTCATTATGTAACTGTAACACCGCGAAAGCGGTCAATCTCCAGTATTCGATGGAATGTTCCTAAAACGATCACGCACACCGGTTCTTGTAGGGCAGTCTCAAAGCGTCCTTCAAATTTCAGTTGCCCTCCTTTAAGTAACGGGAACACAGTTTTATTTTCGTCTGCCGCATTCAACTGGAAACGAAATATCGAAAATCCTGATTTGAAATCGTCCGCCTCGATATCAGTATTGTTGTCGTGATTTGTTAATGATGTTTCAAAGAGTCTCAAATATGCCGACAGATATTGTTCACTCTCAATTAGATCGCTGGAAAATTTTAATGTGAGTGGTTTCGAAGGTACATCTTGAGAATCCACCTGAGTTGTTAGACTGGATAGGTTGAAGTGATCCATGTACAGCGGATTTGTGTCATATGTACCAGCATAGGCGCGGGCTGATACGAAAAAAGCAGTGAGGCAAGAGGGTATGCGTCCTTGAAATATGTTATCCCAAGAAAAGTTAAAGTTGCCTGATGCTAGGCTTTTCACTTTGACTTCCACATCCTGGTAAGGATATATAGCAGGCGTTCGAAGCATCACCTCGTTGTGTGCTTTAATAACGGCGGGATTAACTTCTACCATGCAAGCCTCGAAGTAAGCATCTGTTACAATTAACCGCCATTTTTGTGGATCATCGGAAACTAAACAAAATTCACTGCTATTTGGCCATAATTTTATTTTGACTTCAACTCCATTGAGAAGCAGTCGATCCGATTGAAGAAAACTTTCATATATCGGTCCAGTTAGTTCTACTTCTCGGCTGTTTCTATAATCCATATATCGCATTAATAGTCCTTGGTTTCCTCCTGTCCAAACATTATTTGTAGCGGGAAACATGTCATCTTTTCTGTAGCCCTGCGCCTGCATCCATGACTTTTTATCTGCTGAAGAAAAGTTTTGTAGTACGTGCAGATAAGCTTTGTACGCAAAATCAGGCGTGGCCTCTGTAATGGATTTTTGTTGAACTTGAATGTCAATACGATTCCATAATGTTTGTAAAAGCAAGTTAATAGGACCGCATTTTTTAGGTCCCTGTATGTCACTTGGATCCCAATTCATAGTATCACCATTAGCCTGAACTATTTTTACTTTGACATGCAGGCGAGATCGTTTTAAACTCAAATAGTCCATACCATTGTTTGGTATATTAAATTCCACACAACTACCATGGGTGAGGCTCGAAGTTGGTCGATATTCCACCCATTTAAAACGAGAAATACTTGTATCAGTTAATGGGGTGTTAAAAAGCATTAGTTCTGTGGATGACGATTCATCACTTCCTACCAGCTTTTCCGCCATTTCGTTTTTTCTTAGTTAATATATCGCTGACTCTGGTAGTTTTATATCTTTTCTTTAAATTGTTTGTTTTGGATTTTCTTTTTATCACAGATTTCCTCTTTTGCGGAGCTCTTTTAATAGGTCTACGTCGTTTGCTGTCAATTAATCGATTTGGTCTACCTGGAGGTTGCAGAGATCTTTTAAATGTATTCGACCTTTTCCCTCTCTTCAATTCCGCACTTGCTCTCTGCACTACAGCTTGTGATGGGCTCACTAAATTAATAGTTGACCCACCTTCTTGGTTGTTTCTTATTGAATATCGGCTATCGTTTAATGAAATGTTCTTTTGAGATTTTTTAGAGTTCATAGGTAAACTGCGGTTCACGGATGATGCGAAAAAGTGCCCCCATTTAGTATCATCTGGTGTGTAACTAGATAGTCTCATCTTGAAGTCTATACAATATGCGCTTTTTTGAAGTGTAACACACAAAAGAACGTATCGTTGTTAAATGAAAAAGCTTCGGTACCCTTTGCTTCTTTTATACTGATAGATATGTGTTGGAATCCTGATGGTATAACGGGTGTATAAAGAACAGGGTTATAAGATTGACAATTCCCAGTGTAGAAAATGTCATCCTGGGTAGCGTGTACTTGTCTTAACAACTGAATATTTTCACCGCCAACTATGGTACCGTAACAAAGATTGCACATCACATTCATTACGATTCTCCCGTATACTGTTGGATGTCTCAATTCCACCAATCCACACTGCCATTGTTCATCAGGATTCAATGAAATATATTCCGGTAATTTAACTGTGAACTTGGTATTATTGTTAGAAGGATATGTATCCATAGAATCAGTGCTGTTCAAGTATATATAAAATTGTGAAATCATGTTTCAACCTCAAGAGATCTAGTATTTATGAATATTTTTTCTTAATCAAGTATATTTATGATATACTGGGACGTTGCGTCTCAAATTGAAGCTACCACAAACCTCAGGTTATCACTATGGTTACTACAAAAGCAAGCATCTCATCATTAGTAAAAATGTTATTAACCCCTGGCATCTCATTCCTGGTATCTCACTTTAGGCACCGCAAAGTAGTCTCAGTATCTCATTCCTGGCATCGCATTTTTAGACACCGCAAAGTAATCCCGTGCCTCCTTATAAGTTCCACAAAGTTATCTCGAAGTCTAAAGCTTTGAAAAGCTCAGTTTTAAGGTGGCACAAAGGTGTTTCACAAAGTATTTCATGAACACAAGCTGAATGTTCATGGATGCATAGTGCATCTCAATGAAGCAACAACTTGAGGTCTTGCAAGGATGATTATGTAATGATTGATAATGTACTTACCCTTCCAATGTATTATCGTATTTGATATAATACAAAGATATCTTGAAAGTACCTAAATTTTAAGATATCACCGAAAAGTCTCTCAAACCAACTCAGTTTTTAAGGTTTCATTTCAATAATTGTATGAGTTCTTAATATGTCGTCGCAGTTTTAAGATTCCCTGACTTATCCCTGCTTTAAGGTTTCACAAAGGTATCTCAGAGATATCTCAATGTTAAGACTCTCTACAAAGCATTTCAATTAAATAAGGATACCGTTATGCGTCTCAAATTGAAGCTACCACAAACCTCAGGTTATCACTATGGTTACTACAAAAGCAAGCATCTCATCATTAGTAAAAATGTTATTAACCCCTGGCATCTCATTCCTGGTATCTCACTTTAGGCACCGCATCATTAGTAAAAATGTTATTAACCCCTGGCATCTCATTCCTGGTATCTCACTTTAGGCACCGCAAAGTAGTCTCAGTATCTCATTCCTGGCATCGCATTTTTAGACACCGCAAAGTAATCCCGTGCCTCCTTAACATACACTACTGATCTCTCCTAACGACCGAGCTTCTCTCTTTGCGCGCTTGTGCATTGTTTTCCATGCTTTCTTTAGCACATATTTGTTAACGCCAGAGGTAGATTGAATACGATTTGAGAAAAAAAGAAACATACAGTATCGGATCATTTTGAATCTCCAGAGATGGCGCTACGGTTGAAAGTGTATATCTAAATAGCAGATTTTGATGCAAATGCGATGGTTGATGGCAAATTTTTGTCTTAAATCAGTCTAAAAGCGCTTTAGAAAAATCAAGTGTAATCACGAAAAGTTGTCTTCAAGACGCTTTTAAAATTCTGGTGTAATCAGGATTGCGGTTTTCTAGCCTACGTTACCCAAAACGCCTTGAAAACGCCTTTAGCCATGAAATAGGTGTAATTCCACTAAGAGTGTCAGATTGCTCAAGCCAGTCTACCAAAGTTCTGTCCTTCAAGAAGAATATTCTTACTGGTTCAACCCAGTGCTTTCTGCAGAAATCCAATATTTCTGTCACATAATCACTTAGCAATTCGAGTTTCAGTTTAAAAAATCCATATATTACAAATACATGATGGTTCTGTCCAAAGTTAGTCAACATATGACATTTTTCATGTTGGTGAATTCTCCCTTTTGCGATTCGCTCTTTGAATCACAACGTTCGCAAATATGTACTGAAAAAGCACTCAAAAGGACCAAATTTGATTGGTTTATATTTTCTCACTATGCATTTCGCGTAGCTATTTGCGTGACCCGTAAGTTCTAAATCAAACTAATTACGCAATTTTGTTTTTACACCCGCACGCTAAATAAAACAATGACAACATCGGAAGTATTCTTCTTTGTCATTGCTTTAATAGTCTGAACCGAGTTTAATCAATAAAAGATTGTACAATGAACAACAAAATTCGGAAAAGAGTACTATAGATTTGCTTTCGGACCACTGAACAGAGTGACCTAGATAATAGCGACGCTTCTTCTTTGGTCTACTGCTCAGTTATTTGTTGGTTTTCAACGTAACTCTATGATGTAATTCGATGATGAATACTTTTATTCCGTTGTTGCATCGATGATGCAGTTTGTAGTGCGGTAAGATTGGCATGAAAGTATTGAAAGTCGAATGGAATTGTTTTTTCCAATATGGCGACTAGTCAACTGATCATGTGACCTTCTCTTCCGGAATATTTTCACTTTTCAATCATCGTTTTCACCACGCTATGAATCAATACAATGAAAAAAATAGCTGTTGTATTAAGATTAGTAAAAGATCAATCGTTTCTAATAATTTTTTCTGTACCCTCGTACGGGAATATGAACGAATATATCGTTTGAAAAATAGTTGTTAAAATCCCCATGTTAAACCTATGAGGGAAAACAAGGAAGTATAAAGTTGTTCCTCCTAGAACTGCATCATGGGAAATATTTTGACCTTGTAAGGAAAGATTTTCGCATCTCTTTTGAAGAGGGAACAGCGATTTTGAGAATAGGTTTTCAATTGAGTGAAATGCTACTAATCTTTGCAGCCCTCTCTTGCTTTAATGATGGGATCACTCCAAAATATTTCATGAAAGAGACACTTTCGGAATGGGATAGCAGAATAAATTGATCACTCAAACAAGACTTATGAGAACAACAACAAAGAAACAGTTGCGAGTTTCTAAAAACAGGCAAATTCGGAAAGGACAAGTGGAGAAAATCACCTGTTGCCTGCCTATGGCGAAAGCCCAGATCTAAGGGTGGTTTTCTTCTATTTGGTTAAAACAAAGGTTAACTTACGAAATACAATTCATCTTGTTATGCTTGCCTGAATCTGTTAAAATGAGGTTACTTTCCTATGATAATGAAGCTACTTGATGTAATAAAGTAATAACAATGTAACAAAGAAGGGGACAGTTGTATTAATGGTAATGACATATATCACAGGTGGCAAATATAATCACCCTGTTCAGTTTGCAATCATGAAGATATTGCAATCATAATTATTGTAGACTGTTTGTACTCCCATTTGTTGGAGGTGCATGAATTGACACAGACTTAAACTTTCACATTTGCTATTTTGATTATTTGTGGTCAATAAGAATATAAAAGTATTGCCCTTCCCTAAATAGATTTTGCTTCCTTATGGACTCGAGGTATAAAAACGTAGATGCGCATTGACATTTTTCTGCAGTAATGCATCATTATTCTGTGCTGTTGCCAAATAATCTTATGCACATCTTCATTTTAACAAAGAGAGGAATAACTAGCAATATGTTATGTTTTATTCTGTTAATCGTAGAAAAAAGTCAGTAAAACGTGTTAATGAATGATAAGAAACAGGTGAAGAACTGGAGACATTTCTGAACATTCATCAATTAAATTATTTCTTTGAAAATCATGTGACTCATTTTTCAGATTAGAAACTGGAGAATAAACATGACCAATATGGTATAGCAAAAGGGGACATCATCGAATAGGTGCCCTAACCTCAGATTTTATCATCAAGGAACATACAGGTATGTGTTTTATTTAATTCTCGTTTAGATCTTCTATTCATTGACACGGGCAGTTCCCTGATTTCACTGTTTCCTCAATACAAGGTTATGCATGAGATTGTTCCGTAAACTGACTAAAATATGCTTATTAATGTTTTATGTATTTAATATTTCCCTACCACTTAAAGTGACTCTTGGGGGCAGGTTTTATGACTATCTACTCAGTGTTTCAGGAAATGTAGCCTTGGTTTCAAGTTAACCAGGGGGATATAAATATACATAGACTTACCAGAAATCATTTAGTTAATATTACAAACTATTAAAATATGTCACATGAACTTGTATATTATTGATAGAAAGTTTGCCAAAATGTCATCTTGTTGCTAAAAATCATTTTTTAAATAAAAGAGAAAACTCATTCACCCATATATCAATAAAAGTCTTGACATTTTATTTGTTTTGCAAAAAAGGAGATGTCATAATTTGATATGATGCTCATATATATGTTAAGCTGATAACTGAAATGAATAGAAATTATAAACTGAAGTTATATATTTGGAGCATTTTTTGAGATCTGAGTCCATCTAAATTAATGATTGTTTAGTTGAAATGATCCACATCTGAAGTATGTTTATGGAGTCAACCTGATCAAGCTTGGTGAATTCACCTCCGTAAAATATGCTCATAAAGAATCTAAACCCTAGGGCAATGGCCTAACCAATCAAAAACTGTTTGACATAATTTGTCTGATATTCCCTGAATTGTCACCAAGTGACCTTATAATAGCAGGACACGCTGACAATTGATGGGTTTAATCTATATTTACATTACTCTGTAACTGATACATAAATCCAAAAAGGCACTTAAGATTATATCAAATACAAATCAATATACAGTAATACTGTAATATTACTGCCTTTTCAGTCTTGTTGATAAATCACATCTCTCATCTAGACCAACAGGCTGTGAAGAATATTTTTGTCTTTCTCTGAAATATTTCTTCCTTTTCTACGAAATAATTCTTATCTTTCTCTGAAATATTCCTTGCCTTTCTATGAAATATTCCCCATCTTTCTATGAAATATTCATTGTCTTTCTATGAAATATTCCCCATTTTTCTATGAAATATTCCCCATCTTTCAATGCATATCAGATCTCTTGAACGATATAAATGGATCATTATAGTTGATTTTGAAACTAATTACGAGTATTTGCAAAGGATTATATCTTCTAAAAATTGAAATCGAACTATTCAAACATATGTAGCAGTATTCGTGACCTAAGATTTGGGGTTTGAAAGTGAAATATATGTTAGCTTGATCAAGTAATTTTAAAAATTTAAAGAGTGTACTGAAGGTTGGGTAATAACAAAGGGTATTCATTGTGAAAATTGGAAAATAAGAATTAATGTTAAAGGTTTCTTGGAATAATGAGAGGAGATTACTGCTATAAACATCATTCTAACAATCCCATGTTATAGTTCCCAAGAGGCCCTATCTTCTATTACCATATAAAATATCTTATCTCACATCAATTTTTCATGAATTTTTCTCAAATTAGAGAATAAATCCAATATTTTGTGGTATTTTTGTAGTATTGGATGATACAACCTAGCATTTTTGTTAATTAAAAAAATACATCACTCTTACATTGGCAATTGTTGAAAATATGAATTCTGTCTCTAAATGTTCATTCAAAGGGAAACATTGATTCATGGATTCTCTAACAGCAGATTTGTTTTGTTAGGCCAGCACAAATAAGCATTGGTTTATCAGGTTATGGGAATATTTTGTTATCCAAACATAATGTGATGTCTCTTTCACAGCTTCAAACTTAAATATCACCTTAAACTCATTTGCATTTTGAAGTAATAGAAAAGAAGCATAGTTGCAGTTCTTATTATTATTATTTACAAATATTGAGTTTTTGGAAAGTCTATTAGCATTTATACAGATTGGGATCTTTTAACCCAGATGTATCGTTATGTCAAAAAATAACCCATTCCGTGCAATAGGTATAATATCATTTGCATGGAGTAAGTTATTTCATTTGATAAAACGAAACATCAAAGTTAAAAAATAAATTATTAGATTTTCTTTTTACATGTTTTAAAATAGCTTTATCCCCAATTTCACCCTTGATATATCTAAGGTCATCTGTATCAGGAATGTTCATTATGATCTTTGGGTCGACTCTTTATACACTTATTCTGAACTTTTGATATTTCGTTTATGTGAACTGCCTCAGCTTTCTATAAGGACTATTCCAATATTATCACAGCCATAAAAATGTCTTAGATTTATGTCAGTCTCCTAAATACATTGACATATAATTTCATGGGGTAATTTCCATGCATTCAATGAGGTGTATATCAGACTGAACTTACCATTGACAAAAATTTTAATGTGCTACTTTTGAGTTTACAGAAAAATATTTATAACATTCATGTACATGTATTTACTTTGTATTGTATTTGTATTGTAGCCTTATATTCATGTCTCTTTCTACACCCATAGTCAAAGTGGCAATAGAAAGGGAGTGTCCTTGATAATTACTTTTAGTACCTTTCATTCTTCATTGACGCTGTGCATATTTTCTGTTGGCCTTAATATCATGTCCTGTCACCTTCATGCAGCACCACCATGCTTGACATAATACATCATTATTGCAAGCTATTTCAAGATGCTATATCAAATTGTAAAAATCATTGCAAAGACAGTTCAAACAAAGTGCTCAATGTTAAGTAGTGGAAACAGGCAAATCGATGATACTTATCCAGGGGGAGAATTACTTTATATTTCTCCCTTTATTTTCTTTATTAAGTAATGTAATATGATTATGTGACATCTAAACATCATCATTTTGTGTTTTTAAGAAGAAGAGCCATCATTAAATTTGAGATTTTAAGAACAGGCGACTTTAGAAGATGTATCTCGTGGATTGAAAATTGTTGACTCCTATACATCATGTTTTTACCATTCAGAAATGTGATTTGGTTATTTCAAGCAGTGAGAGATGGGCAAATATGTCATTGTCATTTTCTATTCAAGAACACAGTTCAGATATAGCTTCATTATGTTGCTTGAAAAATTGCTCTGTTCTTGCTTATTCACTCCCTTTTCACCAAATATATGCAAATATATGATTCTGAATGTTGCATTTTATACTTATTTTGTATTTTGAACACAACTCTGACATGTTGATGTCATTTTATTTTACAAAATTGATGTCATTTAAAAAACTCATTACCTCGTCTATAGTTTCTCCTTTATCCTGCTCCAGAGATTTACTAAGTAACTTTAAAGTGTGCGCCTGACCCGGCTACGTATAGCACAGAGTTTATACTGGCGGATTAGACTGGTTCATTTTTTATATGTGTGTGAAAGCTTTCTCTTATTTGCGTTTTTTCGTTTAGTACGGTTTTTTATAATTGCCGAGGTCATATAACCGGGATAAAACAATGATTATCGTTGACTGCCCACACACAAAACATACGTTGAGTGAACAGTGTAATTACAAACAACAGGCTTTAGAATACAAAGCGTAGTGTGATAATAAGCTGCACACTACCACTGCTGCATGTACATATTACTAATTTACTAGGGCTCCAAAAGAGTGGATAGGGAGGTTGTGTTTGTCACTTTTAAATTTTACATTTCAAAATTGTCATTTTACATGTCATAATTTGTTGGTTTCATTCGTTTAGCCAATCAAAACATTGGAAAACAATAAATTGTCTGTTTCGTACAATCAATTTTGTTCAGTTTTGATTTGTTGTCAGAATAAAGTTACATTCATCTGAATCCATGTATCAAAACAAAAACCCTATTTTCACTTCAAAATACTTCAGTGAGATGAAGGCTCGGAATTGTCACATGCAATAACTTATTGTCGTATTCGTTATTTTATCTTCTCGATAGTAGCATTTAGTCGCACATTTGATGCCAGGTCACCTTGTCGCGTACCTCTTGGGGAACCCCACATTTATGTGTGTACTCATGGAAGTAAATTCCCCGGTGTAGCCGAGAGCCACAAACTTTTCAACAGGTTCGAAATGACCGATTTCTCTCATATATACTCTAAATATTTTATTATTTAGCATCTACAAAGTATTGCTAATAACCATATGTAATTTCAATAAGGAAACTTATCTGGCTACATATAAATTCAATATCAACACTAGCTGTTCTCTCAACACGTCCTGGCTTACCTTGTGGTGACAAACCCTGGATTTTCGCTATTTATAGTTTATCAACACCTGGACGCATGCGCATTTTATACTTTATCGGGCACTTTAATGACCTCATGATTAAGTATATCATACACATTTTATATATTGATGTCTTAGAGTCAAAGGACCTCTGCCAAAGAAAACCTTTTTCAAAATCTCCACCAATTTCAAAATGTCTACTATTTTTCAATCAGATTTTTAAAAAAATAATTGATTAATGCTGCATAGAAATGGGACCAGGCTTAGAAAGAATTTCCAGTATGGCTGCCTAATAGATGGATTTCTATAGCTTTGAAATCTCTATAACGAGTTTCTTTTCCTTCTTTTACTAGCAAATTTAAATTCAGTGAAAACATTTTTTCAAAATAATAATTTTGATTTATACAGTTATGGCATTTAAATCATTTTCCATGACTTTTTCAACTTTTCTAATAAAAGTATGTGCCAAATCTGAATTGATGCAATGTTAAAATTCTTTAAAACCTTGGTTTATTCATTCAACAACCAAAATTTTCATGATAAATCACATTATATACATTGACAGGGTCATCCCAGAGTATGCCATTCGAGTTTCAGACAGATTCAACCAACATTTTTGAAATCATGAAATTTAGAGACTATTGTAGTTTTTTATGTCACCACCAAAAGTGGTGACATATTGTTATGGTCTCCGTTTTTTTTGCGACGGCGGTTGGTGGTTGGCGGTTGGTGGTTGGAGGTTGGAGGTTGGAGGTTGGCGTCCGGCGTCTGTAACAATTTCTTACAACTTCCTATAACTTAACAAATACTGTTTAGATTGACTTCAATTTTTTTCTAAATCATCTACATGTTCTCAGAAGTTCAAATCTGACTTTAGATTTCACATTTGACCTTCAATGACCTTCTCAAGGTCAAAAAGGTCTTTTTTCAACTTGCTTCACATTGACTAAATTTTTTTTCAAAATCATCTACATGTTCTCAGAAATTCAAATCTGACTTTAGATTTGACTTTAGATTTGACATTTGACCTTCAAATCTGACTTTAGATTTGGCATTTGACCTTCAATGACCTTCTCAAGGTCTAAATAGGTCAAAAAGGTCTGTTTTCAACTTGCTTCAAATTGACTAAATTCTTTTTTCAAAATCATCTGATCTCAGATCATCGTGTTCTCAGAAATTCAAATCTGACTTAAGATTTGACATTTGACCTTCAATGACCTTCTCAAGATCAAAAAAGGTCAAAAAGGTCTGTTTTCAACTTGCTTCAAATTGACTAAAAAAAATTTTCAAAATCATCTACCTGTTCTCAGAAATTCAAATCTGACTTTAGATTTGACTTAAGATTTGACATTTGACCTTCAATGACCTTCTCAAAGTCAAAAAAGGTCAAAAAGGTCTTTTTTCAACTTGCTTCAAATTGACTAAATTTTTTTTTCAAAATCATCTACATGTTCTCAGAAATTCAAATCTGACTTTAGGTTTGACATTTGACCTTCAATGACCTTCTCAATGTCAAAAAAGGTCAAAAAGGTATTTTTTCATCTTGCTTCAAATTGACTAAATATTTTTTTTCAAAATCATCTACATGTTCTCAGAAATTCAAATATGACTTTAGATTTGACATTTGACCTTCAATGACCTTCTCAAGGTCAAAAAGTTCAAAAAGGTCTTTTTTCAACTTGCTTCAAATTGACTAATTTTTTTTTCAAAATCATCTTCATGTTCTCAGAAATTCAAATCTGACTTTAGATTTGACATTTGACCTTTAATGACCTTCTCAAGGTCAAAAAAGGTCAAAAAGGTCTGTCTGTTTTTTTTTCAAAATCATCTACATCTTTTCAGAAGTTCAAATTTGACTTTACAAGTTCTCAGAAGTTCAAATCTGACTTTAGATTTGACCTTTGACCTTCAATGACCTTCTCAAGGTCAAAAAGGTCTTTTTTCAACTTGCTTCAAATTGACTAATTTTTTTTTCAAAATCATCTACATGTTCTCAGAAATTCAAATCTGACTTTAGATTTGACTTTAGATTTGACATTTGACCTTCAATGACCTTCTCAAGGTCAAAAAGGTCAAAAAGGTCTTTTTTCAACTTGCTTCAAATTGACTAATTTTTTTTTTCAAAATCATCTACATGTTCTCAGAAGTTCAAATCTGACTTGACATTTGACCTTTAATGACCTTCTCAAGGTCAAAAAAGGTCAAAAAGGTCTGTTTTCAACTTGCTTCAAATTGACCAATTTCTTTTTCAAAATCATCTACATCTTTTCAGAAGTTCAAATTTGACTTAACAAGTTCTCAGAAGTTCAAATCTGACTTTAGATTTGACCTTTGACCTTCAATGACCTTCTCAAGGTCAAAAAGGTCTTTTTTCAACTTGCTTCAAATTGACTAATTTTTTTTTTCAAAATCATCTACATGTTCTCAGAAGTTCAAATCTGACTTTAGATTTGACATTTGACCTTCAATGACCTTTTCAAGGTCAAAAAGGTATTTTTTCAACTTGCTTCAAATTTACTTAATTTTTTTTTCAAAATCATCTACATGTTCTCAGAAGTTCAAATCTGACTTTACATTTGACATTTGACCTTCAATGACCTTCTCCATGTCAAAAAAAGTCAAAGAGGTATTTTTTCAACTTGCTTTAAATTGACCAAATTGTTTTAGGTGGTGACATTTTGTCATGTTAATGCCTTGTTTTATATTGAAGCCTAGTCTGGCCCAACCAAAACAAATCAAATCAAGTGCTGACATCTATTTATTCAGCTTTATTCAGCCACATAGCAATTCCCTTATTCAAAAGTGCCTCCATTTTTAAGAGAAATACAAGTCATGATAACTCAAAAACCATTTATTAGGTTTTGTCTAATTTAAAGATTGATGCCTTATGGCCTCTACTCAAGAAGGATTGTCTAATATGGTATCTTGTTATGTCATGGATATAGATTTTGCAAAAGGGAGCCAATATTACAACCTGGTTATCAGTATGATGAAATGGACAAAATGATAAGTGTTCTGATAAAATATGTTTTATTTGATGGGATCCGCTACTCTTGGGATTTTTTCTAATTTCTGAAGTTAAGGGTAATTTATGACTTTATCGGTTCATTATTTATTTAAAAGCTGATGATACATTTTGTATGTATAGTATATAATGTGACGTGTTCATCTTATTTTTGTTTCAAGCACATATACAATCTATATTTTTCATGAAAATTTAATAATCATACAACTGCTTCTACAAAGGTTTTGTACTCATATCATTCTCTCTAATAATCAAGTTTTGCCATTATTCCAAAGATTTCTCAGGGTTTTGATCTGTATTCCAGTCATAGAATTTTGAACCTCACTCCAGGTAGCAACAGAATTATTGATGTAGATGACAATTACCTTTTATATTATACTGTATGTCCACTGTTAAAAAAGGCATTCATTGAACTTGATCTTTATTGCATCACCAAGACAAATAGTGACAGACATATATTGTTATGTGTACTATTTTTTATGCTCAGTATATGGCGATTGTTAAGTGTAGCAATATGTTACATTTTTCTAACAATTTGCATTTAGCTTATTTTGTCATGTTAATGTCATGTCACGAAAGTCCTTCAAGTATCATAGATATCCTGTTTTATGATGATGTCATCATCTTGTACACAGAATTCTATATGGCTTTGTAAGGTACAGAATCTGTTAACAAGAAAGATGTGTTTTCTTTACCTTCACTTGGGTGTGAAACTGCTAACTGATAACATGATCAGCTACATTTGTTTACATCCATTTTCAAGCCACTTTGCTTGATTATTCAGCAGATACAAGAATGTGCTATATCTCTGGTAGTTCTGGCTCATCTCAATCTAAAACTGGATTCCTTACATTTCTATTGCTTATATATGCAAAGTAATGACCAGGTTTTCTGCATTTAGATTTCATTCTCCTTCTCCAGTTAATCTTCATTTATCATTCAATCTTTCACATACAGGTCTAACACAGGTGCACTGTAAGCTGTTACACCGCACCTATTAGAGTTAACATTGTATCATAATTAGAAAAAGAATCCTTATATGAAGCCATAATTCATTTCTGTCTTGGGTAAATTAGAATTTGATACTTGAAGTATTATGTAGCTACCTTTAATATCTTCCACATCAATATACAAGGTTAGCTATCCTTTATAATAATAGATTGATTTTGCTTCATGAAATTATAACATGCAAGATTGTAATATAATATGGCAAGTCATATCTAGCCACACCTGAGTTCATTATGGTTTTTTGCATGCAAGGAGCAGGGCATTAAGTAACATTTTTCTTTGGAAGTTGAGGATAAAAGGTTGCTTCACTAATCTAGAAATTCCCCTCATTTATAACTGTTCATCTAGTTACAAAAATGGACTGCTCTTGTTACTGAGTATGGTGCCAGGTAGGGGCTTTTAGCTTGAGATATCAGTTCCTTAGTCCCAAACTTTTTTGTGGGTAGCGTTCGGTGGCTGGCATCTTTTACAAATGGCAGGTGTTGACAAATATTATTTCAACACCATACATGAATCCTTACACCCACTTGGTCAATGTTGGCAGAATCATTATTATCATATTAAAGAGAGCAGAGTGACCTATTTTGACACAATGAATGCAACAATAATTTAAGTCTCACAGTATAGGACATCCGGATACCATGCAAGGTTTTGTCTGGATCAGTCAATGTAATAATTTTCAGAGAACGAATATTTTTTTTTCATTTTGTTCGAGTTCAGTCATCAATAAATTAGACCTCAGTGTCAGAATTGTCAAAAAAGAAAACCAAATCTGCCATGAAAAATTATCAAGAATATCATTACTGCAAATAAGCATTCAAGATAAAATCTGTTGCTATTTATCAGCCGTCCACTTTGTAAAATTATCACAGGTTCAAGTATGATGCCTAAAATTGTTATAACTATACATAGTGTTGTATTTTTACTTGCAGGGGAAATTCTTACAGTTGGACTAATGATGGACAAGTGAAGCGCATGCTGATACGATACTCTGCAGTTTGAATCGCACCTTTTTACAGTTTGTATGTGGGCTGAAAAATAGAAACATTATTTCAACTGACACCATTGTAAGCTGCAATATCATACTAAGGACAGAATCTTCAACAAGAATCAAAATAACAAAAAGCAATTAATCAGGGGAATTTCTATTAATTTAAAATAGAATTGATAGTAGACTGGAAACCAAAGTTGATAGTTTTGATTATCATAGAGAAGACAGTTGGGATTTCATGATATACTGTCTAATATGATATTCATCTGGCATTTGTGGATAATAACATGCTAGGTTAAATTGGAAACTGAAAGCCAAACTTGATCTCTGCTAAGAGATTTGGAAAACCAAGATATTACGGGAAAATAAAATAATAACTCTACTAGTCAATTCACGGATATTACTGAAATTGCTACAGAGACAATATGGGGTCGAGATTAAGGTACCAATATTGTAAAGTGATTATTGCCACATCGATGGTATGGTTCCTATTGGACGTTGTATTACTCATGTATTATACAGACTGTGCATCTAATCCTTCATGCGACCAGAATCGAGAAGTAGCCCCTGGTGGGGTTGCAGGAAATCCACCAAAGAAATCCGCAGGTCTTTTAGATGCCATTTTACCAAAAGGTAATATTTTGTTATTATTACAAGAAAATCACTGTTCAGTTAGCAGCCTTGTGCTCCTAAAGGTTGCATATGAAGTTACAATTTGCAATTTATGTATACTCTGTGACTAATGTGTCATTTTATATCAATTTGCATGTGTGTGTGTGTTAATATTGGTCTTGTATTTCCATTATCTTTAATGCTCTTCTTTATGCATTATCTGTGATATTATATTTATAAGTATTTTAATGAAACATCCCACTGTCTACCCCTTGAAAATATTGTCAGCAGAAGTCAAGCAATTTTTCTTTCCAAAAAGAGAAGAAACAGTGACAGGCAGAGAAAAGACACGTTCATACTACTGATAGTATACTCTTAATGGTAATCAAACCCATTCAAATCTCCATTTTGTTTGACTGCTACATGGTTGTAGCTATTTTGTTGAGTTAATGAGCCCAGGGTGGGACATCTAAATAAGTACAAAAATGATTTATGCTCATATTTTCTGTCATTTATATGCAGTATATGCATTTGGGTATTACAGAAATTTTAGAAATGTTCACTTAAATCCTTTGGGATCTGTATTATTACATGTATACCTCACATTTCTGTTTTCTCAACAATTGAAAATCTTGATTTATTTGTTCAAATTTCATCAGGATAGCATGTTTATCCTACCGAACAAAGTTTGAGTAGGAATATAAAGAAGTAGTCTGTCTTCATTCATACATCTGTCTGGATGATAGCTCAAATATTGGAAAGACAAATTTGGTTCAAACTTTCTAGGCTGATATATGGGAATAGAATCTCTGCCCAATATGGCTTTCCATTTTCATACAAAAACATAATCTTTAATAACTCTAAAAACAGTTGTTGGGTTATGTTAAAATTTTAGAGGCACTAAATAGGCATGGGATGAGCTTGATAACATGTTTTGTTCAGTGGGGATCTACTAATCCAGGTTGTTGCTACATTAACTTTTTATTTGTGATTCTTTTAGTTTTATATCAAGGGTCTGGGCTCTGACAGTTTCAAAACTTTTCTGATCCATTCACTGTTTTTGACCTTTCAGTTCAGTAGTTTGGTAGTTTTCATCATACTTTTATGAATAGATGAGACCCAAACTGATTCTCATATTTTCACCTTTTACATATATCAGTACATCACTGCACAGTTTGCAGATCATTTCTTAAGATAGGTACTTAAAAATCAGGTATCCAAAATAGCCCCAACATAAGATGCAACCTTACAGCACAATACAATAATACCAAAATCTTCACTCATGATTATACTAATTTTACACTTCATTCCTAATTGAATGGCAATTAAACATTTGAGAATAGCAATATTTTTCTGAATAAACATAACTCAAAATGGGCTCGGAAAAAATATCCTTAAATCTAGCAAGTTATCTCACTAATATTCATGAAAAAAGCTTTTTACCAAAATTTGAATAAAATAAAATTCTATTTAATTTGATTATCTAACATAACATAATATAATCTCCCCTCTGTTACAGTAGCTAATAATATTCCAGTGAGTGTTTTTGAAATGTTATAATCCATCAACTGACATTGTACTATCTTCTATCTTACCACAATCATACAATCAATTATTATAATCTTTTTTTTGTCAATATATGCAAAGGGTATTTATTATATAACATTATAAAATTACTCTTAATATTGTGGGTAAAACCTGTTAATTGAATCTGTTACCCTTCTGTGCAGTGCAGGCTGTTAAATGATCAGTCCTAACCTGAGAGGGAAGTGTACTAATAGCTAATGAACCCAGGGTTGAATATTCCATCTTGCTTTTGGAAGGTTTCACATGGGTGAAATCACACTGGAAAGTGACCATTGTCTTCCTTTATTGTTAGAACATCAGCATTAGAGGCGTGACATTCATAATTGATAGTCAGTAAACATATTATTATTTGCCAACTCTTTCCATTTGTTATCTGTCATTTTATCATTATGTATGAGTGTTAGAGATAAAATGCAATCATGAAAATCAGGGAAGCATGAAAGAGGAGGGTGTTTTAATGCATGTTTTAACTGGATGGCCTAAGCCTTTAACAAGAATTCTGTAATACTCAATTTCTTTAAGATCTAAAGCAATATGTTACTCATTTTTGTAAATGATATCTTTATATTCATAAATCAGCATGTTTCCATGACAATGACAAATGTGGTTGGCAACATTAAGGCTCTCCCACAGGATATCATCCTCCATAGTTTACCAAAAAGAATCTAAAAGCTTTTATATAATAATTTCATAACCACAAAGGGAAGGACAAAAAACAATAAATCATTTTGTATTATATATTCATATACAGATTTTACTGTTATTTTGAAAAACACTTTTTGGAAATCTGTGATAAGTAATGATAATGGGATCAATTGAGTAAAAAGGATTGCAACTAACAACTGTACTGACATGTTTTAATAGAGGTTACACGATTAATATTGATTATCAATTCATACTTTAGAAAGCAGAAGAATATATTGCTTATATTGTGATTAGAAAGTCCACGGAAGAATGAAACTATAACTTAGACTGTATTGAACATTTTAGAAAAGCTTGTTTTCGCTCACTTAAAATCAAAGCAGCAAAAAAATAAATTCTACAAAGAAAAAAGTATCAGTTAACCTATGATAATCCAATCACTGTGGAAAACTCCCTGTGAATGACAAAAATTTGTGCATCAGAGAGTACAAGACACTGACAGATGTGTGAGACACCATTGATTTGTTGCCTTGGCCAATTCTCAAGTATCCTTCAACATCTTTGGTATTAACTCCTGAATCTTATGTATAATGTACATGTATTTTATATACATTTTCCAAACATGACTTAATTCATGTGGGAAATATTGTAGCTCAGATATCTGTCTACCTATCTAATAATCTCACTCAATTTCGGCAATGTGGCATATCTATGAAAATTTCATTCAAATTACTTATGTATTTTCTTTGGCTTTTAATTGATGAGAATCATTTCAAATTTTGTCAATAAATCTAACATGTTTCTTTTTGATAATTTTCTGAATTGAAACATCCCATTTGTGAATCAAGTATCAGTGGTGCTATTTATTTCATCTTTACTACTGAATAACTTTAAGATCAGAACTGCATTTCTCTTTTTATTTTGAAGATAATATATCCAATTATCGTGATGTCATGAAAACAGTTACTTTCCACATATCTAAAGCATTGTTGTATCACTATGAACTTGGTTTCAACCTTTTCAATTGTTTGAACTATAATTCAATAGTTTCATCTATTCTTTTAATCTTAATCATTTTGTGCATTTTTATTTATAATTATGTGTCTTAAGTCTCGTCTAACCAGGGCTTGGGCCAAAACAAAAAAGTTGAAAAATGAATGCTTGTTGTTTGACTAACAGGCTGTTTGAAACATTTCAATAATTTCAATTGGTGCTGATCCAGTCGTTTCAATTGATTCACCCATTTAGCTTTTTGCTTGCATTTCAAGGGATTAATGACCCATTCCTAAATTCCCCAAAGCACTGAAGCATTTAACTTTCTAGTGATTGAATTAAGTTGCAATTATTCACAGTTTTGAAGATTTTTCCAAGTTGCATTATGTTCATTGATGCGCAAAATGAATTGTTTAATTCTCTCTGATATTCTCCATATTTGAGCTTTTATCCAATGCATATCATTATGCTTTCTCATTTCATATCTTTTCTAACTATTTTATTGCCCATCACCGCTGACATTTCTCCAAAGGGCTTGTCTGTCTGGGAATGATAGTATTTGCTTTGCTGAATTATCGAACAAGTTTCAATCAATTTAATGGGTTTTATTATCACATTAGGTGCAGCTGTCATAGAAACATTTGAATGCAGTAGGTAAATCCAATGAAGCTTTGGACAAACAAAATCTTACAGGCAGACGTTGTCTTGATCAATCTTGTTATATGTTTTTCTAGGCAAACCATTTGATGAATTGATATAAGATTTTCAGGAATGTTTCTTTGTATGAAAATCAAGAACAGAAATCTAAAATTGGATTTTTCTCCAGAAAACTGTGAAGTCCTGTCTCGATTTTATGCAAAATGGTTTGACAGATTGATCTGACAATTTAGAGCCTTTACTTGGTTTAACAGATGCCTATAACTGATAACTGATTATTCTTTGGGTATTATTTCTAAATTAAATCTTAAAGATATCTATCTATGTGTATATTGTCCTCAATGTGTAAGACCTTTGTTGTAGGAAAGGGGAAAATACATGATAATATTGACCCACGCACACATGTTAAACTACAGCATGGGCGTAATGAACAACCACATGAAGTTCCCAAAAAATGGCAGAGACATAAACAACAAGCACATTTAAATGATGACAAACCACGACTTCCAAGAGGTATGAGGATGGAGGTTTGCTGGATCTTGCTGCACAACTGTATGCATGTTTTGGTACATCGCCATAAATGTTTCACTATCTTCCAAGTTCTTCCAAACTCGAGATAAATCGATCCCTCTGTTATATTTTTTATTAGGGCACATTGGACACTAATATTTATTTCATTTTGAATCAATCCCCATCGCCATTTTGCATATTAAAGTATGAAGCTCAGTGAAATTATATTTATGGTGATGCATTATAACATATTTTAGAAGATCCCCTTGTAGATCTCCTGGGACCTGGATTGTTCACCTAGGATTGCAGGGAAAGAATTGATCTTTTGTTATTCAAACCTAGATTCCAACTCTGTACCCTAAGACTATACCCTGACACTCTGTAGCATAAGACATTTAGACTTTGTACCCAAGATTCTATACCCTAAAACTCAGAATACTGAACCTCTAAAATACTGTTAACTGAACCTCTGACATTCTGAATACTGAGACTCTGTAATTTATATCAAACTTGCATTTCAGATTTCTGGCATGTGGTTATTCCAACCCTTCCCCTACCCTGTGTTAATTCATATGGTTTGCATATGCATCATATATCATGGTACATCATGAATGTCATTGATCAATTGGAAT